CGCACCGGCCGCCCTCACCTGGCCCCGTGCACGGCGGCGCCCCCTCCCCGAGGCCTCTGCCCGACCCCGCCAGGGAAGCCCCTCGCAGGTTGGCATGTGAGCCCGGACCTCCAACTCTTTGGGAAGGCTGGACAGGCTATGAGTTAGCACCTGCACCAGACCTCAGGAGTCATCGGGCTGGGGTGACTCATGGTCACTGTCACCTTTCAGAATTGTACAGTGAGGACTTCTTGAGAACTTTGACCTCAGCCCCCCTCAATCCCCAGGTCCAAAATGTGGACTTATCCACTCTTGGCAATGACAGTGTCCTGACTTCTTATCTCAGTCCTCCTGGACAGGGCAGTCTCTTCCTACACCCTAAGATCTGAGTCCATCAGAAAATTTCATGGGAGAGCTCACTGGGCTCAGGCCTTGCTCCCTGGTTCCGCCCCTTAGTGACTTTGGGTATCTTGGTGAGTGGATCCGGTAGGGCTAAGCTCAGAGCCCCTGCCTACTACTCTTCAGCTCTCAGGGCTTGAGGACTTCCAGCTGAACAAGCACCTGGAAGCCCAACCTTGGGCAGCAGATGTTCTCTGGCCAGGCCCTGGGAGACTCAAGGCTGGTCCTCTGCAGCCTCTGCTGGCTGTGACTTGTTTAGCTGAGGTGGGCCCACTGGCTAGGTGGTGGAGGGTAGGAAACAGAGGAGGTCAGCTGAACATGAGGGCTCTGTTTGGTGGAGGGGCTCCTGCTGGGTGGGCACAAGGTTGAGAGAAGAGCCAGGTAGGATGGTGAGCAGGCGTGGAGACCAGAATGGGGCTGGTGGGCCCGCAGTCCACTCACCAGAGAGAGGGCGTGCATGGGATTGGGGAGTGGGCTGAGGCCTTCAGCACCCACCTTGGCTGTCTTGTGTGCCTGGGGAAAAGGATCCAGGGGTACTTCAGGTAGACTGCTGCTGCATGGGGCCTGAGTGAGAGGGGTGAGAGCCCCGAGGGGAAAGATGTCTCCAAGGTGCCAGTGTCTGGCAGCCTGTGAGCCAGCAGTGGTTCCTGGTGCCATAATTGGCCCCCCGAGAGGAATGTCGTCAGCCTCCTTCCTCCTGCACAGGCCACTTCTCCTTGGGGACATGCCCTGGCTCCTGATCCTCAGCACACCTTGAGACTGTGAGTCGGTGACAGAGGGAGGGAGTACTTCCACTTTGATCGTGCCTTATGTCACTCACTTTCCCATGTGACAGACACAGGAGGGTAGGTCTCCTGGCTGGCCAGAGAGAGGGCCTATCAGGAAGAAGCTCTAGGGTAGACCCACTGAGTCCCACTGAGCCCCATTGAGCCTCACAGGTCTGTGCACTTGCTCTGCAGATATGACCGATCCCTTCTGTGTTGGAGGAGGCCGCCGGCTCCAGGGGTCCAGCAAAAGTGGACCTGGGAAGGGTAGCAGCCGAAAAGAAGTCCGACTTCCCATGCTGCAGGACCCACCAAAGCTGGGTAAGGAGCCAAGGCCAAAATCAATCCCAGAGGATCGCAGACAGATGGTAGTAGAACAGGGCACCTCCCTGGTGTCCTAAGCGCCTCAGGCCTTTCTAGGGTAGAGACTCTCTTGGACATAGCCTGGAACCTGGACTCTTGTCCTGAGTTTACCATAACCTTGCCCCTATGTCTTGGTGTTGGAGGAGCCTAGGCTAAATCCAGGCCTGCAAGCCCTTTGTAGCTGGTGATGCCGTGTGGCCCCTAAGTCCTGCTGCATTGTATGCTGCAGGGATGCCGGTGGTCCACAGTGGACAGACGGTGCCTGGCCAGGCCCCGCTGTGCTTTGACCCAGGAAGTCCAGCCAGCGACCGGACAGAAGGGAAGAAAAAGGGGCGGCCGAAAGCTGAGAACCAGGCACTCCGAGACATTCCTGTGAGCTTCTTGAGCCTGGGGTGGGACTTACGCTAGGTCTGCATATTGAGGCCACTGCCCTGCCCTTACCTGGCCCCTGTATACTCCCCTCCCCCAGTTTCAGGCTGTGGCCTGGAGCCCTCCCATGTGATACGTTGTGAGATCTGGTGGACCATGTTGGTGGCCCCTGTTGCAGATCTGGAAGAGGGCTTGCTGTAGTCCCTAGGTTGAGGGGCTTGTGTGGCCTCTGTGCTCTGTAGGCCTGGGGAGGGGGGCTCTAGGTCTGGAGCACGGGTTGCTAGAGGCCTGGGTGGCTGAGGGTCAGCAGCCCAGCCTTTCCCTATGCCCAGCTCTCCCTTATGAACCAGTGGAAGGATGAGTTCAAGGCACACTCAAGGGTGAAGTGTCCAAACTCGGGATGCTGGCTGGAGTTCCCCAGCATCTACGGGCTCAAGTACCATTACCAACGGTGCCAAGGGGTAAGAGGTTGTGGGTCGGGGAAAAGGAGGCTCGGGGGCATGGCTGGGCAGTGGCCCCTGGGGCCCCATCCCATACCTGCCCTCCCTGCCCAGGGTGCCATCTCAGATAGGCTGGCCTTCCCTTGCCCCTTCTGCGAGGCCGCATTCACCTCCAAGACTCAGCTGGAGAAACACCGGATTTGGAATCATATGGACCATCCCCTGCCTACCCCGAAGCCTGGCCCAGTCAGCCGACCAGTGACCATCAGCCGGCCTGTTGGAGTCAGCAAGCCCATCGGAGTGAGCAAGCCAGTCACTATTGGAAAGCCAGTCGGAGTCAGCAAGCCCATTGGCATCAGCAAGCCAGTCACAGTCACCAGGCCTGTGCCAGTCACAAGGCCCGTGCCAGTCACCAAGCCTGTCACAATCAGCAGGCCCATACCAGTTACCAAGGCCATGCCTGTCACCAGGCCTGTGCCAGTCACCAAGCCCATTCCAGTCACCAAACCTGTGCCAGTCACCAAACCTATGCCAGTCTCCAAGTTTGTGACAGTTACAAAACCCGTGCCGGTCACCAAGCCAGTGCCAGTCAGCAGGCCCATTGTGGTCAGCAAGCCAGTGCCGGTCAGCAGGCCTGTTGCCATCAGCAGACACACACCACCCTGCAAAATGGTACTACTGACCAAGTCTGAGAACAAAGCACTGCGTGCCCCAGGGAAGAGCAGCGGTAAGAAAAGGTACAGGAGCTCACTCCAAGTGGAGTGTCCCCTTGGCCATGCCTGGGGCTGAGGGCCAAGGCCAGTTCTGCCTGACCCTTACCTTGCCTGCTCTCTGCAGGGCTGCAGACAGCCTGGACACCTGCCCCATCCCACCCAAGCAGGCCAGACCAGAAAATGGGGAGTATGGCCCATCTACCACAGGCCAGAGTATGGCCTTCCAGCTGAGCACGGACCCCAGCAATAGCTCCCTGCTGCTGGGAAGCAGGCCCTCGATGGGGAAGGAAGTGCTGCGGCCTACAGGCCCTTTGTTCCCACCTGAGGAAGACCCAGAACGCACAAAGCACAGTAAGATGAGAGCCCCCCAGGGGTAGCAGCTGTGGTGGGCTCTGGCCTCTGGATAGTTATTTGACCAGAATCTTGGTTCCTGTTTTCTCTCCCCCGAGTCAGGAAGGAAACAGAAAACACCCAAGAAATTTACAGGGGAGCAGCCATCCATCTCAGGGACCTTTGGGCTCAAAGGTGAGACCACAGCCTGCTAGACCTCTCGAGGACCGGGTGGGTCCACAAGTGTACCAGTGCTCTCAGCCCATGGCTCCCCATCCCACCCTGCATGTCTACAGGCCTAGCCAAAGCCGAGGACAAGGCCCGAATTCACCGCTCCAAGAAGCAGGAGGGGCTGGGCCCAGAGGATGTACGCAAGAAGGTGCCGACTACCCCCATCACTGTCAGCAAGGAGGCGTCAACTCCTGTGACCCACCCTGCCCCAGGTGGGGGCCACCTGGCAGGGACCCAGGGCAGGTCTTGATGGTGGGATGGTTTCCATAGCCAGGCATGGGGGCCGACTGTGGTGCTTAGGTGCTACACCTGGTGTCCAAGGTGTCTAGGAGCCCTGCAAGCCCCTGAGGCCCTGGCCCTGCCTCGCAGGTGGCCCTGAAGAGCAGTGGCAGCGAGCCATCCATGAGCGGGGGGAGGCTGTGTGTCCCACTTGCAATGTGGTCACCAGGAAGACTCTTGTGGGACTTAAGAAGCACATGGAGGTTTGTCAGAAGGTAAGGCTGCCCCTGGAGGCACTGAGAGGGGAGACTTTGGCCCTTGCTGTGCTTCTCATGCCTGGGCTGTGTCCACAGCTACAAGATGCACTCAAGTGCCAGCACTGTCGGAAGCAGTTCAAGTCGAAGGCTGGCCTCAACTACCACACCATGGCTGAGCACAGTGCCAAGGTATGCTCTGTGGCCTTCGGCTCCTCCCCATCCGGTTCTGACAGCTGACCTCATACCCCCACTCTGTTGCTGCTCCCTTGCCTGGCTCTGGACCACCCTGCCCGAAACCGTGGGCTGGTGCCAGGTCTGAGGCTCGTTCCATCTCCAGCCCACTGATGCTGAAGCCTCAGAGGGAAGTGAGCAGGAGGAGCGGGAGCGGCTGCGCAAGGTGCTGAAACAAATGGGGAGGCTGCGCTGCCCCCAGGAGGTCAGTGGAGGGGTACACGCCGGGCTCAGGCGTTGGGTGAGGCATCAGCACCTTGCTGGCTGCTTATCCAACCTTTGACCTGAACCTCCAGGGCTGTGGGGCTGCCTTCTCTAGCCTCATGGGCTATCAGTACCACCAGCGACGCTGCGGGAAGCCGCCCTGCGAGGTAGACACTCCCTCCTTTCCCTGTGCCCACTGTGGCAAGACTTACCGCTCCAAGGCTGGTCATGACTACCATGTGCGCTCGGAGCACACGGCTCCGGTGAGTGGCCTGTGGTCCCCCATGTCCTCATAGCTCTCATGTGCCCTGTGCTATGGTGCTGTGCTGTTTCCTGTGTGCCATGCACATGTTCACAAAACAGTATGCCTTCTGACAGGTTATGATCCCTGCTCTCTAACTCACTTGTGTACCAGTGGGTGGGAGGGTGAGCACCTGGGATCCCAGAGCTGCCTATATCCCCCACACGTTTATGTGTGTACCTTGGGTCCTTGTGCCTTCAGGGGCTGCGCATGGCTTACACTTCACTCTGACCCTGACTTGCTGTCTTTGAGTGTTCTGTCTCTGAGGTTCATCTTGGCTTCTGTGTATATCTGCCCTGCAGCCCCCTGAGGAATCCATGGACAAGACCTCTGAGGTGGAGGACCTGCTGGGTGTGGAACGGACCCCAAGTGGTCGTATTCGCCGCACATCTGCCCAGGTTGCTGTGTTTCACCTGCAGGAGATTGCAGAAGATGAGCTGGCTCGTGACTGGACCAAGCGGCGCATGAAGGATGACCTTGTGCCTGAGACTGCACGGGTAAGCTGCCTACCTGAGTGAATGGGCAGCACTATGGCTGTGGTCGCACCCTGATTGCTTCTCAGAGCCCCCAGCCTGCTGGTCTCTGGGCATGATATGCCTCAGCCCCGAACTCCCTGTTACAGTCACAGTCCTTTCTGCTGGCCTTGTTTGAGGGGCCAGATACCCTGCCATTGAACCACATGGTCTCAGAGCAGAGGGATGCCTTGCCTTGAGGCTCACTTTGGTGCTGTGCCTGATTTTACAGTTGAACTACACTCGGCCAGGCCTCCCTACACTCAACCCACAGCTACTGGAGGCGTGGAAGAATGAAGTCAAAGAGAAAGGCCACGTAAACTGCCCCAATGATGTGAGCTGGGGCAGACTGGTGGGGGTGGTGGGGGTAGATGGGCATTCCAGTACAGAGGGCCCAGCTGCAACCTTTTGGGGAGCAACAAAGGCTGAGACAGGCCTGTCAGGAGATGGCCACCCTCAAAGTGACAAGTCCACTCTGATTCTGGGCTCCTTCAAGGTCTTCATATGGAGACTCTGTCAAAAGAAGGGACCTCTGCCTCAGGCCCTATATGTCCATTTTGCCCATACCCCAAGACTCCTGGGGTCAGACCCATCCATTTGCCCCAAAAGTCCCAGAACTCCCTGGGGCTAAGGCAGGGTGCACCTTTGTGTGGGACGCCTCAGGAGGACCTCTCCCCACGGCTGTCTCCTGCCTGCAGTGCTGTGAAGCCATCTACTCCAGTGTGTCTGGTCTCAAGGCCCATCTTGCCAGCTGTAGCAAGGTCAGTTCTGGGGCCTCCCATGGCCTGATATGTGCTTTGCACATCCAGCTTTCTTCTGCTAGGGGTCCTTACATTATTATGAGATAATGCATGCCTTCTGCCTTGGCCCCCATGCATGATTTCAGAGACTGGTTGGTGCCAGACAACTGGGCCAGGAACCTGCCCTGGTCCCCTCCTCCTAGCCATGAGCCAGTCAGTCCCAAGCCCTACCTTTGGGGCTCCTTGTGTATGGGTATGAGTGTGTAGTCACCCCAACCAGGACAGAAGGCACACTGACTTGGCATAAGGACCCTCAGCAAGCCAGGCATGGTGGTCCACACCTGTAATCCTAGCACTCTGGGAAGCTGAGACAGGAAGATCACAAGTTTAAGCCCAACCTGAGCAATCTAGCAATTTAGCGAGACCCTGTTCAAAGAAAATCAAAAGGGTTGGACATCTAGCTCAGTGCAAAGGCCCTGAATTCAGTGCTCAGTACTCTGGGGTGGGGGTGGGGGAGGGGCTCAGCAGAGATCTGCAACCCTTCCCTTGGGTACCAGCTTCTTCCTACCGCCGAATCCCCCTCACCTCCCTGCAGCAGGAACAATTCAAGTCCTGCTACAGAGTGACCTTGAGGGTCTGGGAGCCCACCTGTTGGGCCCCTGTTCTGTCACAGACAGCACAGCTTCTTCTGGTTGTCCCTGACCCTTTAGCAGTGAGGTGAGGGCTTTGGTGCTCTGAGGGTTGGGTTCTAGGTTGCCCATGCATTGCAGGGGGACCACCTGATAGGGAAGTACCACTGCCTGCTGTGTCCCAAAGAGTTCAGCTCTGAGAGCGGTGTCAAGTACCACATCCTCAAGACTCATGCAGAGGTGCGAGAGTGATGGGTCTGGGAGGTACGGGGTGGAGGGGGCTGACCCAGGATGGGTGGGACCAGCATCCAGTGTGGTGGGGAGGGGGTGGGCCAAGTAGTTGGATGTATTTGAGCAAGTAGCCAGTGGTGAGAAGTCTGGAAGTATGTCCTCAAAGTGGTGTGCTGCTTCCATGGAAGATAGTAGACTGGGCTGCTCCAACCTGGCCTCCTGAACAGGAGCCACCCTGGGTGAGAACCCTGCCCTTCAGCCACCTCACTGCAGCTGGCTTCCTGGCCCGAAGGTGGCTGTGTCTGCAGCACTGTGTCTGCAGCACTGGGGCAGGGTCCCAGGTACTCATTGCAACTTTTCTCTTCCCAGAACTGGTTCCGGACCTCAGCAGATCCACCCCCTAAACATAGGAGCCAGGACTCCTTTGTGCCCAGGAAAGAGAAAAAGAAAAGTCTAGGGGGTGGGAAGAAGCGGGGCCGCAAGCCCAAGGAACGGCCCCCTGAGGAGCCTGTGCCCAAGCTGCCCCCACGCCGGGATGACTGGCCCCTGGGAGGCAGAGACAAGGGGGCTCGGGGATCCACTGGGCGGAAGGTGGGAGCTGGCAAGGCATCTGAAAAGTGATTCTAGTCGGTGAGGCCCGGCCCCCATGCCGGCCACTGAGCCCCACTCTGTGATGCAGAGGAACCAGCTATAGACCTGATCTCCATCCCCCAAACCCTGTCCATCTGTCCTGTGAGGGTGGCCGGCCACTCTTCCCCTCCTGTTCAGGCTGCCTCAGGGCACACCTGGGCTGGTCTCTCCCAGGGTGCCAGGGCAGCAGCAGAAGTGCAATAGCGGGGGGCGGGGAGGCCAGCCCTTCCTGGGAGAACATTCGCAGACCTGGCAGGGGCAGGGGCCTTGGCACCAGGGATAATACAGTGCAGAGCAGTCAGAGGCCTTTGGCCCGTCTTTACTTCCTCAGACCCAGTTAGGTCCCTATCCTTGCTTCGCAAGGCTCCTGCTGACCTGTGGCTCTGGGCTGACCAGGGCACTTCAGGAGCCTTGCGTGCTACCATTTGGGCCTCACCTCAACCCAACACTGGAACTCCAGTACCCCCAGCTACCTCCCAGGACAGACCCCGTCTGACCACTGCCACACTGACCTAATAACCCACTTGGCTGCCCGTGTCCACCCACTCTGGTTCCTCTGCTTCTGTTTTCTACCTCTCTGGGCCTGTTCCTCCCACTCCCACTCTGGGCCCCCATCCCCCATGTAGTCCCTGCTGTGCTTCAGGCCCCTCACCCCTGGCGGTCATCCTAATGGGGCTTTCCTGCATGACCTCCAGCAGTGCATACTGCTTGGGACAAGGGAGGGACCCTACTTAATTCCACTGGCAGGGGCTGGAGGCCCAGACCACAGGGGAAGGCTAGCATGTCTGTCTCCCTGGAGCCAGGACTGGGCAAAAGATGCTCAGCTATGAGGAGTCAATCCTGAGGGAGACAGCCTCCGTGTTCCAGACTACTGGCCCAGGGGCTGAGCTGTGGAAGTCCTGCCCTTTCATTTCTTTATCTGCCCCTGTACATCTGGTGGCACGGTCATTTGATACAGAAACTGAAGGCCAGTGAGGGGAGGGGTCGTGGACAAGGTGGCAGCTTTAGGGCTATGTCTTCCCTTTTGGGGCCCTGAGGACAGGAGAGTGCAGGCTGGGCAAGGGTCAGGCAGTGACCCCAGGATGCCTGGAGGAGGTAGCCATACAGCTTCTGACCACCTCCTTAGTTGCACCTTCCAACACTGGTACAGGGAGGAAGATGCTTAGAGGAACTCTTGGGCTGAGGCCATCTTCCAGTTGGGGGTGGGGGTGGGCTGAGGGCTCTGCCTCACTGATCCTGGATGATGTGAATTTTGATATTTGCCTGTGTGCGTGTCTCCTGGGTGTAGTGGATGCCAGTCTTGTTGCTGTGACAAGTAACAACTTTTTAAAATTCTGTTTTTTATACAAAAATTTCACAACAATCTGACATTTTGGTGCTAAGGGTTTCCTGGTGCCGAAGATGGGCCTAAGCTGGGCCAGGACTGTGGCCAGGCTTCTCTCCTGCTCAGGGGGCTGTGTTAACTGGGTAACCCCTCTCGCAGCAGGGGTGGGGAGCTCCACTTGGGCCTTCCCTGCCTGCAGTAGAGAAAGCAGCTCCAGAGGGCTTTGGAGGTGCTGTGCTCTTGTCTGGGAAGGCTAACTGGACAGCCCAGAGAGGGTGTGTATTACTCCTGCACACACTTTGATCTTGTTCAGAGCATGGCAGCTAGGCAGAAATGGATTTGATGTAGTATCAAAGGTTAGGCTGGGACTCTGGAGCAAGGAGGGCTGTCCTATATTCTGAGTGCTACAGTGGTGTGCAGCTGGGGAATGGGGAGAGGAGAGAGGCCCTGGTGCACTTTGCCCTCTTTACCTATGGTGAAGGAGGTTAGACCCCCCAACACCTTTCTGCAGGGTATGGTTGCCTGCCCTAGCCTCTCAGGTACGTGGCACTTGAGGGGAGGAGGGTGACCTATTTTTTTGCTGGGGGGCGAGTTTCCAGGACACTTCTCAAAGCCCACAGGTAGTCCCTGGTGTGGGAAGTGGGGGTCCTGGATAACTTGATGTTTAGCACTTTAACTCCCTTCTTTGTCTTTGAAGTGGACCTGGGGGGATGCTGCCAGTAGTGGCTGTTGGGTCGGACCCCTCCCTCTCCCTCCTCCTCTCTGACACTAGCTAGTCTGTAGAGTCCTCAGCCCTAGTGGGTAGGGCCCTGGGCAAGGCTCTGCAGGGTCTGTCCCCCACCCATTCAGGGCCAGGTGACCACTGGCCTCCATAGACAGTTAAAAAGGACCAGCGTGGCAGACCCCCCAGGGTCTGGTGAGCATGGACCTTGGAGGCTCATACCCTGGGACCTTGGCAAAATGCGACAGTCGGGGTCTTACTCTGCAGATCTACCTCTGGCTCTGTGCAAGCCCTGTCCTCAGAGCAGAAAAGTGCCCAAGGGGCTGACACAACACACACACATACAAAAATTGGATGCACTTTATATGCTTCTGTACAGGCAGATGAGGGTGTATCCTAGGTTCTAGTGGGCCTTCCTATCCCTTTGGTGATTCTAAAGGGAGACGCCGGGAGGGAGAGGCTGTCTCTGTGAGTGGGTTCAGGAGGGTTAAGGCCATGCGTCCTAAACTTTAGGTATCTTGGTTTATTGTTTTTTTAACGCAGTTCTCAGTACACAAGTGCATTTTGAAAGACAGGTTCCAGCTATCACTTGTAACCATATATATATACATATATATTCTATCTACAAAGTGTTTATTTGCAAGATGTTTTGACGGTGAGCTTGGGCCCTGCCCACCTTGTGACCATCTGTCCCCATCCTCGTCCCCGCCCCGCCTCCTAGATGAGAGTGGCGGGGGCAGGCCATCAACTGTATGTATTAGAAATGACTGTATCAAATAAATGTTTATTGATTTCTTTTCCAGGGCATTTTGTGTGGCTGAGTTTGTGCTAAGGCACCAATCCTCCGCGGGGCTAGCGCGCGCAGCCTTCTGGGACTCGTAGTCCGCGGGCGCCTCGAGCGCGGGCGGGCGCTCC